TATTACATCCATCTAATTTGTTGTGAATTCTGTGAAATAGAGAAGCTTTTTATCTAAAGAAAAGTTTACAAACGGCCAATGACTTTCTTTCTTCTTCATCTTCAAATTTCAATTTTTGATATAGAGAGGCTTTTTTTTTTAATCTGGAAAAAAGCTTCCCAAACCAATGGCTTCTTCCTTCTTTTCCTTTCAAATTTCAATTTATAAAAATAGAGATTTTAAAAACTCTATTTCAGAAATTGAAATTTATCTGCAAAAAAGTTTCCAACTCAATCATATAGCTACTTTAATCATATAGCTGTTCCATTTGGAACTGTTTCTTCTTAAACTGCTGTCATTTAATTAAGTACATGAGGACACATCGAATAGAGAATTCATCCTCCTACCAGGGAAGGAGGATGGAAGGCATTCACAGAGACTGTTTAAAAGAAGACCATACCACTTTCATTTCAACACACACACACCATGTCAACTAAAGCATGTGAAATCCACAAAGACCCAAATTCTTGTGTGGACCTCAAACATAAATTTTTCATAGACTTTGGTCCACCCTCAAGTTGAAAGGAATGCCTTGCAATTTTTCTCTCTTACTATGGCAATGGATACATCATAAGATTCCAACACTGTTATTCTTTTAGCAAGAAACAAATATAATAACTCCACAATAACTATCAGTTACAATAGTGTGTTATTCTTATTCTTTGATATCGATACATTTTTCTGGTTTGATCTCATCTCAGAAACCTACACCGTCATCCAGTAAATCATAGAAACATTTTACGATCAAAGTTGTAGAAGAGAGATACTTTTGTGAGACACAGTCATGTCCTCCATCACATCATGTCCTCACCCAGTGCCTTGCATGTTGTGATGCTGTCCTCCATTTTTCTTCCCTCGATCAAACCTCGAGACTGCTCCTCTGTCTCCTATGCTTCACTGCTGCCATCAAGCTGTAGTTGCTCGAGTTTCAACCTTCTAATCCCCCTTTTACCTGTCAGGAAACAAGCACAAGTGATTATTTTTGCTATTTTGTTTCTTCATCGCCACCTGCTTTGGTACTGCCAAAGCATGGAAGTTTCTGTGAGAGTTCATCTGCCACATTGACATCATACTGATATCTGCAACCAAAATAGAGAAAAGTTTCAGAACATTTGAAGGCTTCGTGGCTCATCAATGGATCATTTATTCATGCACAAGGATTGCTAAGTTGCAAGGATGATGGCACAAGGAATATCTAAAGCACTGATTAGGTACTAGTCTTTAGGATTGGCCTTGGGTGTAGACCAGCAGCTTTGCCATGCTCTCTACTAGGGGCTATGTAGTATAATTATACTCTTACAGCTTTCCTTGTCTCTGGATGAACAGCCCTAAACATCAAGAGAAGACACATCTGTCTGACATTTCTCTCTCAATCACAAATCTTTTTCTACGTACGACCATGGTTGAATCTAAGGTTAAAACTTTACCGTCGCATTACAAACGACCACAGTTTAGCATATACTAAACTGACGCTCTCGTCAATGTAAGTTTTATGAAGGATTAATATACACCGTCTTATTTCGATAGCCAATTGAAATAATAAGGTTTACTATTCTGAAAGACGCTTGTCATCATCGATACATTTCAATCATTTGCTTCCTTTACTCTCCACTTGGACTCCATTCCCCAACCTGACCCATTACCCTGTTCCCATTTTTCTCCTCATTCACACGAGTTTCTACTCTTGTCATGTTGGCCTTCTACTTGACGACTTCATCGCCTGAGCCCAGCATCTTCTCCAATCTTTTCTCTGGTTTTGACTTGTATCTCTTCTCTCGACCATGATCCTCGACTTATAATTCTACTCTCCACTGATTTGTATGCATTGATATCACTGCATAGACATCATTCTCGCATGGTTTAGCTCATTTGAAGCATTCTTTTCCTTTCATGGAAGACAACTTCCTTCCATCATCAATGGACAACACCAAGAGCTTTCACCCTCCCCTCAAGCCGCAACCTCCACCACCGTCGCCCTACATAATCACTAGCTTCCCCATCCTAGCTTTATCCATCATCGGAATCCTCACCACTTCCATCGTCCTCCTCAGCTACTACGTCTTCGTCACTAAATGCTGCCTGAACTGGCACCGTTCCGGCTTCCTCGGCCGCCGGCCTGCACCATCCACGGCCTTCTCGACCTCCGCCGACAACCTCGGCCTCGATGAATCGACAATTCAGGCGATCCCAACTTTTCGGTACCGGAAAAGAGCTGAGAGTGCTCGGCGGACGTCGTCCTTCCGTGAGTGTGCCGTCTGCCTGAGTGAATTCCAAGAAGAAGAGAGGGTTCGGCTTCTGCCGAGCTGCTTCCATGTCTTCCATATCGACTGCGTTGATACTTGGCTCCAGACCAGTGCCAATTGCCCACTCTGCAGGTCGAGCATCACAGCTCCGATTCCACCTGATCATTATGATCCTTACCACAGTAATGATGAAGCGATCGAAGAAGAAGAAGTTGGCAGTGATGACACCCATACAGTGACGGAGCAGAGACTTGGAGACAAGACGAGCAGGAGGCTCCAGCATCGAAGCAGCATGGGAGATGAGTGCATCGATGTGAGGGAGAGGGATGAGCAGTTCCGCGTCCAACCCATGAGGAGATCATTCTCCATGGACTCTTGGGATGACAGGCAGCTGTGCACGGCGCTGCAGAGGATGTTGCAGCAGAACTCGCAGCTCCAAGATGTTATTGGAGAGAGCAGCAGCACGAGCAGACTCCGGAGGTCCTTCTTCTCGTTCGGCCGAGCGTCGCGTAGCGCTGTTCTTCCTGTCAAAGTCGAGTTGTGATTCAAGAGAGCTGTTGATTCTTCTTTGTTGTTGCAGGTTCTTGAACAGAATTTCATGTTGGTGCTTAAAGGTGTGTGGGTTGGGCTTCAGATTGAATGTAGATTTAATTCTTTTGGGATGAATCAGAATGTAAATTTGTGAGTTTTTATTGAATTATTTTTTCTCTTTTTGTCAAAAGGAAGTAAAACCAGCTTCTCAATCTTTTTCGGAACATGTTATAGGCTATCCTTCTTCCTTGTATGCCATTTCATCCTGCTGACAAGCTTAGGATAATGCACAAGAAAGAAAGAACCTTTAAATTCTATTCATGCTTTATAAGAATCACAAATATTTGGAAAGCTTTGTTTGATTGTGTTGGAGACTGGATTAGATACTGAACAACACTTTCTTTTGACAGAATTTTATGTCACACCCGAAGCAAACATTAAAAAGATGATCATGAGAGGTAATCAATCACAAATGTTTTTATAAAATTTGTGATGTCCAAAAACCTTATTTTCTTTCTGAAAACTGGGACACCATTCAAGCCACAATTGAGGCATCCTTTTTGTTGACTTCTGAGATGTCATCATCATCCGCTGAGTGAAAATAAATCAAGTCCAGTTCATTGGCGGAGTCAACAAAAATGTGTAGGTTTCAGCAACTAGGGAAATATTTTACAGCAATCAGGCATCTTAAATATATTTTCAATGCTAATAGGAGCTTAAATTATGATTCTTCTGAGAACAATTAACTAGTATTAATTGCTGAATCACTAACACAAAACTTCTCTCACTTACCAGCTAGAAAATGGTGGTGCAAAAATGAGGGTTTCCACATCCTTATTGCTAGTGCCAGCCACAAGCTTCGAGGGAGCAGAAAGCTTCATTTCGACAACAATCAATAATGATTTGTCTACAATCTCCATGGTTCACAACCTTTTCTCTTGCCAATTCTGAAACTTACCCAACTTCATACAGCATAATGTGATTAGAGTTATACAGAACACGACTAGATAACAATTCTTTGCTAAATTCAAATCCAAAAGTTACAAATGAGACCAAATGCTATGTCGAGTAACACTAAAGTATTTCTTTTCTTCCTCTTCTCTCTTTGAGAGATGAGAGAAGCTATTGGGTGGTCAGCTGAACTTTCAAAGGACAGCTTTGAGGAAAGCTAATTGTGTCTCATTTGCTTGCCATGTTGTCTTGCAACTTCATTAACAGTTGCATCGCACATACTTAATAATTAGCAGACCGTTAACCGAAGGAGTATCTTCTAATTACTGTCCGACGGTCCGGATGCATTTGTCGAGCTCACAGGGGCACGAATCGATGGCTTGGCCTGCCCAGTGGCGTTTCCGTGATTCCAGTGGCAGCCGCACCCTCGTCTTTAAATAGAGCGAGCGAGGGGCCCCGTCTTTCCCTGTGGGAGTTTCCTTGGTGGTTGGGGGAAGGAGATCGGTGGGGTTTGTTTTAGAGCGAGAGAGGGATCCCGTCTTCCCCTTTGAGAGCTTTGTTGGGAGGTTGCGGGGAAGGAGATCGATGGGGTTTGTGTTAGAGCGAGAGAGGGATCCCTGTTAAAATAAAGAGATAAATGAGTTGTAGAAGAAGAAGTTGAATGTTATTGACATATCCTCCGTCTTTATATATAGGTTAGAAGGAGAAGTTTCCTCAAC